ATCCCAGGGCCCTGGGATTGTCATTTGCAACCTTCTTAGTCAGCTTCTAACGAGCAGAATCAAAGGAGGATGCCAAATCTGCTTAACAACCCCGTGATTCACTTAACAACTTCAGTGATTTGCTTAACAACCATGGCAAAATGCTGGTAAAATGGGACATGACTCAGTTAACAACTGTCATGTTGAGTTCAGTTGTGGTTGTAAGTCGAGGATGAACTCATGCTGTCCTCGACTTTCGACCGCAATTGAGCCCCATGTTTTTGTTGCCAGCAAGGCAGTCCTTAAGTGAGTTTTGCCCCATTTTACGAGCATTTTGCCATGGTTGTTAAGCAAATCACGGAAGTTGTTCAGTGAATCATGCGGTCATTAAGCAAATCTGGCTTCCCCCCTGTTTGTCAGAAGGTCACAAAAGTGGAATCACATGACCCCGTAGCACAGCAACCGTCATAAGTACGAGCCATCTGCCAAGCGTTTTAAATTTGATCACGTGACCATGGGGATGTCACAAGGGTCGCAATTGTATAAGGTTGAAAACCAGGCTTGTCAGATGCTACATTTTTCCTATCCTGCTCTACGGAGTGGAGAGTTGGTCTCCGACAGAAAACCACTTGAAGAAACGCAAAGCATTTGAAATGTGGATTTAAAGTTGACTGTTTAAACGTAACAATTGTGACAAAATCACAAATGAGGAGGGGATAAGCTGCCTGGAAAAGCCAAAGGAAATCATCAAAGCCATTAAAAAACGAAAGTTAGAATATTTCGGACATGGGATGCGACACCTGGAAATATACAGCATCCTTCGCTTAATCCTCCAGGGAAAGATTGAAGGCAAATGAGGTCCAGGCAGAAGAAGAACATCATGGCTTCAAACTGGTTTGGTCAAAATTCAGCAGCATTTTTTCATGTGGCTGTTGATAAAAATAGGATCGCCAACGTCTGATGACGGATATGGCACAAGAAGAAGAAGATAGAATAGAGTAAAATAACAGAGTTGGAAGGGACCTTGGAGGTCTTCTAGTCCAACCCCCTGCTTAGGCAGGAAACCCTACTCCACTTCAGACAAATGGCTATCCAACATCTTCTTAAAAACTTCCAGCGTTGGAGCATTCACAACTTTTGAAGGCCAGTTGTTCCACTGATTAATTGACTTAATTGTCAGGAAATGTCAAGGATACCTGTATTGGGGCACTTCCAGTGGTGGCATACGACTGGTATGCCCCGGTATGGGCGTACCGGTGCCTGCTGGGAGCACCAGGTACTGTTCCTGTATGGTGCTCCGGGGGGCCCATCCGCCTGCGCGCTCTCCTTACCGCTATTTGAGCCGGTTGGGGCTTTCGTGCACACTCACAGAGCGTACGGCGCCTGCACAACATTCCGCCGAGCAGCTGGAGCGTCGCAGGTGGTAAGTATGCATGCGCGTGCTGCGCACATTCATGTGGTGGATGCCGGGCCTCATTGCAGCATACTAGTTGCAACGGGATCTGAAACCCACTACTGGGCACTTCCTATCAGGTGGAAGATACACTGCTCGTGAATCTGATAACTTGAGCCAGCTCGACCAGCAGGGAGGTGACACGTGGCTGGCTGCAGAGGATAGTTAACACCTGTCTCCGGGAGGGATCCTTCCCGCTCCTCCTAAAGGATGCGGTGGTGAGACCCCTCTTGAAGAAGCCCTCTCTGGACCCAGCCATTTTAAGTAACTAT